AAATACCCAAAAAGAAGTTTGTAAAAAATGAATCCGCCTCAACAATATAGAACTTATCTAGAATGACTTAATTTTTGTGATTTCGCCGCTTTGTTTGTTTGTTTGAAGAAACTGATTCTACGGCGGGGTAAAAACCGAAAAGACCTGTGCTTGATATACTGACATTCGACAATAAATTTTCTTCTTCTCGAATCAACAAAATTATCACAATTCCTGTTAAGAATGTAGGCTGAGGGAATCGCTCAAAAATCCTTTGACTACGGTATCCTTCCTTGAATACGCTTTCCTAAAAAAAGAATATATTTGCAGTGCAAACGAACTAACTAGCAGTAATAGCAGTAATTTCAGCTTCTTTTTAAGATAAATTCGATATTTTTTTATGAATTGGTTTGCATGTATCGTGCCATTTTAATCCCCAAAAATAATACCAGAAGAGAAATGTCTGCTGCTTCAAGCAACTGGGTCTATCTAATATAGTTTTGGAATTAATTAGAACTGCATCTACAGCGTTTCAAAAGTGGAACTGACATTCCTCATTAATTTCAGTTGGATAAATCTCTGAGATAATTCGTTATCTTTTGCTAAATGCCGAGACAGCGGTCCAGAATTTACACTGACATAATACAGCGAATAAGCCGAGTTTAAAGTTTTGCCCTTAGCTCAAGGCGTAACTGCAGACGTAAGTTTCCGTGTAACGTTTTATTAATCGCGGTAATGAAATTCCTAAGAGTTTAAAAGTCGTTTCATTCCACCGGTAAAATATTAACGGCACTTTATTATGCAAATGCTTTGCGCAACTAACTAAAGAAAGTACTGTTTCTTAAAACAATGATCTTTTCTGCCTAATAGAATTTTTCTTACTGTTGGTAGAGAATAGCTAGTGGTGTATTATTTTAATCACAAAACTTTGCTGCAAAGAACAATGCGTTAGATGATCCTGCTTTAATATTAGCTACTAATTGTAAACGGAATTAGATCTTGTAAAATATTCGACAAAAAACGACAGATACATAATTCTCGTCCATATACGGAAAAATACGGCTCAACATGATATTACGATGTCAAACAGGAGTACTTTTTTTTCAAAACAAGAACAGAAATCAAGTATTTCTGCTGTGTTATTTTGTATATATAAATATCACCATTATTGTGTACAAGATGGTCGATCTCTGGCCAAAACAAACAGCAAAATGCGTTTCACTTACTTACCCTGTTTTAAGAGGTCTTAACTATTATAGTACCTAACTATCATATAACAAATAGCAAACTAAACTAAGTACTTTAGTAAAAATGTCTTTTGAGTGGCATCGTTCGGGGGCTTATGTATTGGCCGGGGGACAATACAGATTTTTTGTAGCTACTTTTCAAGCTATTTTAACATCCTGTAGGTCGGCATATTACGAAACAAACTGCATATAAAAGTATACTTGAAATATAATCAAACACGATTAGGCAAATAATCTCTTTGACTGCCACGAATTTAATTTTCGTTAAGCATGCTGTATTAACAGATCAACAACAGTCCCGATCCGCAGCACAACGGAACAAAAACGTTAATAGCAATATCGCATTTAAAATTGGGGAAAGCTTAATTCAAATAATTTTTAGATCATGTTGGTCGAAAAATGCACCAAATTGTTGGACAGTTATATATTAATTGACAAATTTCACCGGGCAGGCTTGCGTGTAAAGGAGTAATTATTTAGCCGCCCTCGGTGTGGCCAATCTATTAGAATCAATGGAAATACGGACATCTCAACTATGTTCAACAACTGGACATTTATTAAGCCATCAGTCCATTTGAAACCCCAAACCATAGTCAATTCGATTTTGGTAAACCAGCAAAAAAGCTTTAATTTTGTTTGAAAATTTATATTTGCGGCTAACGCCCTTTGAATAATACCCAGAGGACCTCTTTATGTTAATTGCAAAAAATTATTGCAGAACGAGTAAATCATAATATGTAACAAACAGTGCGTGTATGTGAGTATTAGCTGAAGCTTTAGGGGTTTAACAAGGCGATTAAAAATTGGACTTATTCTTCTGTAGGTGTTATTTTGGGGTGTAAAGAAAGTACAGAAAAAAATTGAAATTAATTCGAGCGCTTCCAAAAACTAATAAATTCGTACAAAACCTAATCAAATAGCGCACAACAATGTATGTGGTGGTATCGACAAATGACGTTCTTCTCATTAACATTGCGTGATTTCCTACTACTTGATGTGTAACTATACAAAAGTGACCAGGCGGGGCAAATGGAAAAGAACGTATGCTTTTCGTGGGGAACTAAAAATTAACCACTGCAATCAGCTGAGAGTAACTGATACTTTTAAAATTAAATCTTTGAGTTTGCGAAGCAGTAGTATATAAATCTGGATATCAATTTCTACTTTCACTACAAGAGCTTTATTAGAAAATCATACAAATAATTTCAGAACTACTCATTTTTTTCTTGTTTACAATATTGGTTGTGCATCCAGCAGCAATACGTGAAATCCCATATTGCTGCTTGATGTTAAAAGCATGTTTGCAAGTGGTAAAAGTAGATAAAACAGTGGAAAATCTGCACGAAACCTTTCAATCCTTGCTCAGTCCTGCTTATTCTTGTAGAAATTTACATGATTCCAACTGCTGGTTAGAGCCACTGAAGCATTTTTCAATTTGACTTTCATTTTCTCCCAGGAATCAATTTGATGCTAATGAGAAAAACCCTGCACATTCCGCGCGTTTCTCATAGAGAATAATTTGCTTATTTAGAGTTTCGACAACGAAGGTAAACTTTATGCTTTTTTGTGAAGTAC